CTGTTTTTAAATGATTGTTTTTACTATAGTTAATGAAAAGTCTCATGGCAAAGCAGTTGAGTTCAAGTCTTAGCTTTGCCGTTTGCTAGCTGGATGACTGTGGTTGTTTTATTTAATCTGTCCATGTCTAGGTTTCCTCATTTGTAAAATAGTGAAAATAATAATGTCTACATCATAGCATTATTTGTAAGAATTATAAAAGATTTAGCAATGACTCAGATATAATAAGGACTTAGTAAAGTATATTACTTTTATTAAAATAGACAATATAAATTTCATTTTTTGGATTCACTAACATTTTATGCTCTTATGAGTTCATACTTTTTTAAAAATGCAGGCAAATCCAAGAAAAGCACAGTATAAATGTGCTAGTTATCAGGTAGTTCTCTGCAGGCTTTTGTGGACAGACACATTTGGGCTGCATGATTTGAATTTCAAACAGGCTTCTTCTCACTTTGCCTGGGTTGTACCAGGAAACTCAGTCTCTTGTCTTTTTCTGTACTCTGTCACAGACCAACTTTTTGATTCTGACAACAACCTTTGTGAAATGCAGCATCCTTTTGTAAAATGTACAGGTATTGGCTTCAGTGATCTCTAAAGTGTGTGTGATCTACATTACATAGCCAAATGTTTTCAATATTTGCCTGTAGTCAGTGATTTAATAGTAAAAACATTGAGAACCTAGAAAAATTTAGGAAAAGAGAATATGGATGTGGCCAGTGAAACTGCATTGAACCACAGATGATAAAGGACCATTCTGGCTATTTCCAAAGCCTCCACTATGTAAAAAACTGTGACAGAAAAAAGCCTCAGTAATTATAGACTCCTTTTGCCTGATTTTGAAGAACTCACAATGTAGAAACATAACACTAACAAGGATCTTGATAGACTACTAATTATCCCCCATAGGTGAGGTTTTTTGGAGCTTTCTCAGTCAGTAATCTCTGAGAGAGATATTTAAAGCCAGAGAGAAAGGTTATAATGGTGAAAAACAAGAATTGAAAGATAGAGGGTAATGCAAATAAAAAAGGAAGAACAGTCCATAGTGGCAGCCTCTACCTGAAGAAGTACAGAAAGGTGGTGGTTGAACACTGTGATATTGAAAAGGAAAAGAAGATGCAAAGAATCAACATTGAAGTCTGTACTGTTAATTTATAAAGGAGGAATTTAGTCAGCTGGACAGGCCTAACATAGTTAGTGATGTCCACACTTAACGACATCTGTCAGCATTTGGAAGAACCGGAAAACAAAAATAGCAGCACTGTTTTATGGACATGATATATAAGCTTGATAAAATGAATTTCAGAACTCCAGGGCATGGGGGGTATGCAAGTAGTATAGATAAAACCATATTCATAAAAACTAAAAACAAAAAGCATACTTAGAATAACTTTTTATCCCCTCCTTCCTATCTCTTTTTCTCATTTTCTTCTCTTTCCAATTCCCTTAGTATTTACTAATAGTAAGAAGAACTGATGAAAAGCCTTTGCAGGGCTAGTTAGAGAAATATTCCAGTTCCTTCTTTTTTTATTCCCACTATGGATCATTAATGATAAAAACAAAAGACAGAAAAAATGGAAGAATAAAATAATTTGTCATCTAATATACTTATGCATTTAAAATACAGGTCAAATTCCAAAAGTCCTTTCCCTCTGACAAATTTCTCTGTTTCATGATAATTTAAATTTGGTATATATAGTGTTCTTAGCAATCATTAGCTATCTGCCTGAGGACACCTAAGAAACTGGAAAGGTATACCGATAGAGTAATAGTGAAATAACCTGCATCTAGCTGTCCATTCACTTACATTTTCCCTAGCTTCAATTCTTTCCTTAAAGATTTCTTGAAAGTGTTTGCACAGTGATGAGAGTTTAAAAAAGACACAAACAAACTCTGAGTCAGAATTATGTATTACTTTTTTGTCACTAAAGAAAGAATCAGAAGGACTGCCAGTTCCTAAATGCCTGCCTTTGTGCTGAGGAACTAGTGGCTGCATTATTTCATTTTCTACCACAACACGTTTTTCTCCATTCTGAACAGAAAATCTGAACAAGTAACATCAGCTACACTGCTTAGAAAACCTTCCTTCTGGGAGACAGTGCAGGGCTGGCCCAGTTTGTCTCCATAGAACCACTCTATTTTTTCTGCATCTTGATTCCTTAGTACACATTAGAGGGCCTTCACATCCCCAGCCATTCCTTACCTCCATCAAATTTACTAGAAACACCTTACTTTTGAGTGGAAACAAGTGATAAATGAACAATCTGGTAAACAAATCCCTGTTAATTATTAACAAGTATTACTCCTGTCCTATAGCTCAGATGCCCAGAAAGTTCCTACAGGTGTAACAATAATAACATTAATAGCTAAAATTTACTAAGGAATTCCTGTGGACTAGGCCTAACACTACATTCTTTAAAGATTTTATTTCAATCTTAACAACAATCCTATCTGGTCAATTTTTATTACTTCTATTTTATAGATGAGAAAATGAAAGTTGAGTAAATTTGAGAAACTTGCCCAAGATAAATCAAGGCACCGAATTTAAAGTCAAGCCTTTTTTAACTCTAAAATCTCTTCTCTTTAATAGTATATTTTCTCTCAGGTATTTTCTGGGGGATATTTGTATTTAATTACTAGATGGAAAAATCTACTTTACATCAAAGTGAGCCATTACCAAATAATATTGCCACACAGTGGTTTTGGGAATATCAACCAACTCCTTTCCATTTGTTTGCTCAATTTCACCTTTTTATGATAATACAGTATTTCAATACAGATTGTATTGTGAATGACTGTTATGTTTACAGAACTGTCTGAAGGTCAATGTGATAAATTTATTTACGTCTTCACCAAATATTTACTAAGAACTCACTATAGGCCAGGCATATATCAGAGAAAAAATGCATAAGTATAATTACAGTCTTTTGCTCAACAACATTGTTCCTCAGCGAATGGGTGACTGGATAAATTATCATGCATATAATGTCCCAACAGATACACTAATAGTATGCGACTTTAATCTGACTTTGCGAAGGTCATTCATTTGCCATCAAAGAACTTCACAGAATAATAGTAAGGAAATGATTTTCACTTTAATGGTAAAAGACTAACCTATGGCAATTTTGCCTTAAATTCCCTTTAACATTTTCTGAATGCCATAACTTTATGCTCAGAAAAAGTGTCTGAATGCCTTCACTATAAGACTTTCTCTTCCTTTCAAAATTGATATTTTTATTTCTAATTTTTAATTTTAATACTCTGAAATATTCCATTCAGTAATTGACTTGGGATGATACTTCATGTGAAATAAGGAACTTGGTGGTTCTGATCAAGAATGTGCTTTGTATTTCAATGTGGTTTTTACATATGAAATATACAATGTGTTCTTTCTGAATATCAAATGTGTTTTATATAATTTATGTGGCTATTTTCATTAATTGTGGATGGTGTATTATTATTAGTTTTAATTAACATCAGGAGGTATAAGAATACTATTACAGATTATACATTTACAAAAATTTACTTACCTTTATTAATTTGTTATATAATTCCAAATAAAATTTACTACCATCAATAGGCTGTGTCTTGTGTTATTTTAATATTAGTAGTAATGCAGTTTTGTTGATCTACACACACGTTTTCCTCCTTGGGACCAACTGCAAGGAAATTGGCGAAGGTTTGTGGTGTTCTCTATACCTTTGCAAAGACCAAAACCCATGTGGAGAAAAAAGGCCAAGCAGACAAAGCATCTGATATGACATTTAAATAGGAAGGCACTTATTTTCAGCTAAAAGATTAAAACTTTGTTTTATTTAATACTTTTTCAACAAAAAAAGTTGCCACTTAAAAAAGTTGTTGATTATTATATTCACTATGCCTAATTCAGTTGGGGATGGCCTCCTTTCTGGTGCAAAGAAAACAAGTGATGTCACTGTCTGAAATGTCTGTTCTAGGAGTTCTCTGGCAACTGACAGCCTTCTTTAGCATTGTAAGTGATAGATGCCACATTACCACCTAAAGGACTTTTTGTTACATTTTTACAAAGAAGAAATCATGATGCAAAGTATAAGTATCTTGTATACCACGTATGCCATAATCCTGGCATTCACTACTGTCTATTACTGTTATTTATTTACCGGGCCAATTCACCCTTTTCAAGACAAAGTGCTGTTCAAAACCTAAAAGTTATGTCTCATTTATCTTGTCATCTCTACCACCCAGAACAGTGTTCTCAGTTTAGAGAAGAATATTAATACTGAATTACAAAGCAACTCTGAAAGCCTATTTTTTAACATTGTTTTATGTTCTGCAGTAATAATTCTTCTGGCCTAAGACTCTTCAATATATTATTTGATGTTTTCAAATCATTCCTCGTATATCTGAATTGACAGTTGTTTTCTACATTTTATATAAATAGAAATATTTCTTTTAATATTATTTACTTTTATTAGTTTAACTAACAAGAAATGTATTATCCAAAATGATACATACAAGCATTCTCAGAAATTTCTACTCCAAGTAACATAAATTATCTATAACATTTAGAGTTATATGTCTTGCCTCCTTTTGGGTAGACAGAATGAAACATACGACTGACTACCCTCATATCTGCACTGCGCTGTCAGCTCTGATCCATGTATTCAGCAAACATCCATTAACTATCGCTATGCTACAATCTGTTATGTCAGGTTCATTTGATGCCAAATGCATTTTATGAGTCAAGGAGTATCATATGTTTGTTATAATAATAATGCCATTTTTAAAGGACAGAATTTATCTCCTTTCATAAAAAGAGACATCACGAAAGCATTTAATAAAAACCATAAACACCATTATTACTGCTTCTTATAGTTTATGTTTAAATGGACTGTGACACCACTGATTTCATCATGTAAATGTTCTTTAGATTAACTGCAAAGAGGGCATTTTTGTATTCTAATGTGTACTTAATTCACTAGCTGGGATTCATTGATTCATTACCCAAATTTTCATTCCAGGCCCTCCAGGCCCTCCAGGTGGTCTGCGAATAGAAGACGTTAGGGCCACTTCTGTGGGACTTACTTGGAGCCGTGGTTCAGACAATCATAGTCCTATATCTAAATACACTATCCAGACCAAGACTATTCTTTCAGATGACTGGAAAGATGCAAAGACAGGTGAGTTTTATTTGTTTGATTAATCTGTTCATATTTTGAGATGAACTCTTTTTTGTGTGTGTGTGTGTTACGCGGACCTCTCACTGTTGTGGCCTCTCCCGTTGCGGAGCACAGGCTCCAGATGTGCAGGCTCAGCGGCCATGGCTCACAGGCCCAGCCGCTCTGCGGCATGTGGGATCTTCCCGGACTGGGGCACAAACCTGTGTCCCCTGCATCGGCAGGAGGATTCTCAACCACTGCACCACCAGGAAAACCCTTGAGATGAATTCTTTCATCAAAAACAAACAAAGAAAAACTGGATATTTTAATAATTTTATCATTGACCCTGAAAATTTTCTTAAAACAAACAAGCCCAATGTTTTAGTAGTAAAGAAAACCACAGCAAACTAAATGTTTTAAAGCTATAGGGGAAGAAGCAGCATGTCTAAATCTATAATAGGGAAGCAAAGAGAGGTCTCCTGGGTTTCTTATTTGAGCTACGTGTTAAGTCTAAAATGTACTAGGAAAAAATTATAAGGAAGGTGGATTTGGCAAATGGCATCTATAACTTATTATTTATGACCCTTTTTATCCAATTATATAGGCACTATAGTTCTGCATTCTAAAAAAAGGCACAATTAATCATAAAGATTAAGCACATAAATCTTACTACCATAACTTTTTACTCTCTGAATATGTTCTTATCTGGCTTGAATTTCCTCAAAACAGGTTTTTAAAGAAGTTTAGTACCTCAACCTTTTTTTTCTCTCATATTAAGATTTTCTAACAGACGAAAACTAATTAAGAGCAAGTGGGTACTTTTCCTTGTGTATAAGTTATTACCATTGCCATTTGTCATCACTAGTCTTCAAATATCACACATCAGCGTATTTTCTCATAGAACATGAAGGAAGATAGAGGATTGTTTTGATAAAATAACCTGTTTATCTTTGTCATTGTTGACAATATTTTTAACCAAACTTGCAGTTGTCAGAATTTCTTTTACATGCATAAAGAAGAAGCATAGAAATATGTTCTCAGTTGTCACCAGAGGGGAGAAAAAAAGACAAAAGTGAATAGAATGTTCCTCTTTTTTAAAAAATGAAAAAGAATTAATCCCAGCATATCTTAAACCTGCTCACTTTAATCTTAACATAACAGAATTTATTTGTATTGTTCCCTGAGAAGTTTTAATTTAGATTCACCTTTTTTTTTTTTATAATTTCTTCCTATCATGGGAAATAACTGAAATATAAACTTGAAATCTATTACAAGGGCTTAGGATATATTTTAGCATTAAGTAATTCTCCACATAAGTGTATGAAGTTCAGATGAAGTAGAAACAAGTGAAACATTTCTATTACATTATGCTTGTGAGTGTAAGAATTATCTATAAATATACTTGGCAAAATCAGACCTTTTGAAAAGCAATTTTAAAAACCGTTTAGATATTTGATAAACATAAAGCATGAGCAGTTTCTACTTCTCTAAATAGAATGAAAATTGATGATAATGATAAAACCATAGATAATAATTTATATCTAGCCAAATTTATATTAATTATAGATACTAGAGAGCAAATGAAATAAATAAACATATGGTTAAAATTTGGTTTGGCTTTGAAAAAGGAATAATGATTGCAATAATCTCTATTAGTTCTTACCATGCTTACCACATTATGCTTAACATATGGCTCAATTAAAATATGCTTCCCTTTAAAAAAATTTTTTCCACTATAAATTAAGTTCCATGAGGGGGAAGACTTTTGTTTGATTCACTGTGCTATCCCTAGCAACTAGATCAGAGCCCATAGTGCTCATTCATTAAATACATATTTATTGAGCTCCCACTGTGTGCCTGAACCTGTCCTAGGTACATAGTTGACCAGCAGTGAATAAAACAGAGGGGAAAAAAAAAAGTCAAAAGAAAAGCCACAATCCTACCTTCAAAGAGCTTACATTCTGGGCTTCCCTGGTGGCTCAGTGGTTGAGAGTCTGCCTGCTAATGCAGGGGACACGGTTCATGCCCTGGTCCGGAAGGATCCTGCATGCCATGGAGCAGCTGGGCCTGTGAGCCATGGCCACTGCGCTTGCGCATCCGGAGCCTGTGCTCCACAGCGGGAGAGGCCACAGCAGTGAGAGGCCCACGTACTGCAAAAAAAAAAAAAAAAAAAAAAAAAGAGCTTACATTCTAGTAGGAGAGATGGTAATAAACAACTAATTAAAATATATAATAAGTCACATGGTGATTAGTGATAAAGAGAAACAACAGAGAAGGGAGATGGGGAGGCAAGAGTTGCATTTAAATGGGATGCTTCTAATATTAGCATAGCCACTCCAATTTGTTATGGTACCTGTTTGCATGTTATATCTTTTACAATTGCCAACCTATTTGTATATTTGAATCTAAAGTATATTTTCTGTTGACTGCATATAGTTGGATCTTATTTTTTATCCAGTCTGACAGTCTCTGCCTTTTGATTAGATTATTTAATCCATTGATATTTAATATTATCATTGATGTAGCTGAATTTATATCTGCCACTGTATTTTTGCTTTCTTAATGTTTCATTTGTTTATGTCCTTTTATTTCTTCTTTATTGCTTTCTTTTGCATTAAATGAATATTTTGTAGCATAAAAATTAAACTAAGTTAATGAAATTCTCTAAATATAAAAACTTAATGATTACTCTAGAGCTTACCTGGTACAATGGAATTTATCACAATAAACTTCATATTTCTACCAACAATATCAGTGAGATATAGAAACATTACTCTTAGCACTATTCCATTCTGCCCCTTTTTTGTGCTATGGATTATTATTCATACATCTATATTGTATATATTATATACCTATGTATGTTGCAAATTCAATAAACTTCTGCTGAAATTATTGCTTTCTATAATTTTAATGTCTTTTAAAGAAGCTAAGAGAAGAAAGGAAAACAAGTATATATTTATAGTTTGTTATATTAAGTAACATATTAAATATTTAACATTTCTGATCCTCCTCATTTGTTTCTGTCAATTTGAATTATCATCTGATGTTATTTTCTTACTATAATACAACTTCACTTCTACCTGTCCCTTTAAGTTATGTCAAATCTATTACATTTCTATATGCTGTAAGCCCAACAACACAATTTTATTACATACACACACCATATATATACATTTATACATATGTATATGTGTATGGGTAGATGCATAAGTAGATAGATAAAGATAGATAAATAGATAGATAGATATTCTCTACAATGGCCTTTAAATCAGAGAAGAAAGAAGAAATATGTATTTATACTTTTCTAATTACATAATTACCTTTACCAGTGTTCCTTATTTTTTTTGGATTTTTTTTTTCAAATTACTGTCAATGGTCAACTGCTTTCAGCCTGAAGAACTTTTTGGAATATTTCTTGTAAGTCAGGTCTGCTCCCAACAAATTCTCTGTTTTTGTTTATCTGGGAATGTTTTTATTTTGCTTTCATTTTTAAAAGGTAGTTTTATTTTTTTGGTTGACAGCTTTTTTCCCCCCTTTATGCCCCTGGTGATAAAGGGCATCTTGGATGGAAGTTCTTTTTTATTCTCAGTTGCTGAAAGTTGTTTCTAAGTCCTTCATACTTACCAATATATTTTCTATTTCTGGATTTTCCATTGCTTTCTGTAGAACTGGATTTCTATCTGTTATAATTTTCCTAAGTAAAGAACTTCTTTTAACATGTCTAACTCTTCAGGTTGCTGGAGTCAAAGACCTTCAGCTTTTTTTTTACACTAACAAATAGTTTTCTTTTAATATTTAAGTGATTTTTTGGATATATGTTCTAAGCTGCTTTTTTTGAGCACTTAATAAAGTGTCTTTGTCTTTTTGCCTTCATTGCTTCTGACAAGAAGTCAACCATTCTTTTTACCTTATATTCCTGTATTTAATGTGTCCATATTCTCTAGCTGCTTTCAAGATTTCCCTTTGTATTTGCTTTTCAGCTTGATGAGAATATATTTATCCAGATGCAGTTTACTGGCATCTTAGACCTTTGAGGTGATATCTTCCTTCAGCCTTGGAAATTCTCAGACATTATCCCTTTAGATATTCCTCTGTCCCACTCTTGCTCTTCTTGGTCTCTAGTGAAATATATGTTAGATTGTTTGATGTGTTCCACACAATGATGTGTGTGTGTGTGTGTTGACTGATTTTCAAACACTGTGCGTAAAAGAACAGTAGAGGCTGAGTAAATATTTTTTTCCCAGGAAAATTCATGTCATTCTTTCAGGGGTTGAGTCAATCTAATCTGTCATTGAGATGATCTGAGCTTTGCTGTTAAATTCAGTTCTATACAGGCTTTAAGTGTTTTGAGTACAGGATCACAACCTTTCCCCCATATTGCAAGTCTGGAGGTTTTCCAGTCTTCCTATCAGACTTCAGTTTTCTTCTCCAGCTTGGACATCAGAGAGGGCTCTTGCTCCTCCCCTGCTCCTGCCCCAGACAGCTGTTGTCTGATAATCAGTCTAAAGCACAGAGTGCTGGGGTGGTGGGGAGAATTTTCTCAGTTCTCCTATCCTTCCCTCAGACTTCACAGATCCAAAGCACCTGCTCCTCAGATGGGAGGCAAATCTCTGTTACCCTCTTACCACTCACCCAGCCACACGTGGGCACTCACTTGTATCCAGTGTAAGGCTCAGAGTGCATGCAGGGTCTCAATTTTCCTGCTCTGCTCTTAGATTTGAGCAGATCTGACGTGTCTATGCCTTTAAGGGTGGTCTCTCAGCACTCTTGTCCGGCTTCCGAACTTTCTTGAATGCGTCTGGTACAGCCTACAGAGAAAGAGTTAGTCAACAGGTAAGGACTCTCCTTAATTTGGGGATCCCAGGGATTCAAAATAGCCATGGCAGCCTGCACTTTATCTTTAAATATCTATGAAAAGTTAAACTGTCTTTTTCTTATGAACGTCTATGACTAAATCCTCCTCTCCCCATGACTCTCTGATGATGACTTTAATTCATTGGATTTCTTCACAAACTCAGCTC